ACTGGTAAAGTTTACCTTATCAAACAGAGTTATTGTGAAAGCTCTAAAATAGAAGCTGTTTTCAACTAATATTGAGGTAACATTTATCAATGTCCTCTGGAATTTCATAGTTTTTATGCAATGCTAACATGAGCATCTGAGAACCTGCTGTGAGAGACCTCTACCACACTATACTTCATTTCTCAACAGGTCCCATATTTTAGAATTTTCTGAGTATTTGTCATCAAGATTCAACCACCCCAGCTTTGGTTTTCACCTACATTCTGCTGAAATCCCAATTCAAGAAAATAGTTGGAACAGCATCATGTTAGGTAGGTGTTTACAAGCCTCTTTCAAAAGCTGGAAAAAACGTTGAGCATGCTGAGCTTCCACCTCAGCGGAAGAAACCATGTAATTACTGACCACAACCATAGGTAAATAATTTTGTATGACCTAGACTTAGAAAAATAAAATAGGAATAGGTTCTTCTGCTCAGATACAACATAAACTTTGGACAAAGAAATAATTTAAAGTTAAGACTATGCACATTCCTATACTAACAGAAGGTAAAATGCTATTCTAATTTTCTTTTCCTTTTATATGCTGACAATATAAGATCAGATTTGAGAGTTCTGAAGCCTTCTACATGTATGATCATCTCCTCAAGTACATAAATCCTTTACAGAATCTCACTTTCTCCCCGAGGCAACTCTACTGCAAGAAACTATGTTCCTCATGGATGGTTGCCAGAAAGCCTAACCCACATTCCAACTGCCTACTTTTTAATCACATATCACATTCCTAGATTCTTCTAAATATGCTACTAGCATCTCAGAAAGTAATTAAACAAATGTTGACATGATGTAAACTTAAAATCTTTTTTTTTTTTTTAATTAAATTAATATTTCTTCCACAATAGCTGATTAAAATACTCCAAACAATGGGCAGAAATGTGTATCTGAGTATCTTTGGAAGGTTTACCCATAGAAGTATATCTTAAAGTTATGTCTGAGACAGGTAGCGTGCCCCAAATCACTTGCATTCTAAATATCAGTAGAGCATTAAACAACGAAAATGAGAGATGTAAACTTGCTTTGGTGCTGATTTATAACCCATGTAAATAAACGTCCTAAAAAAAAAAAAGCAGCTCAGTCAGGCAGTGCCTTATACACAGTTGTTCTCATGTCTGGATTTCTGCCTTGGTATTGTGTTTTCCAAACTGGATTAAGATCGACTGTATACTTTCCAAAACTGTAAACTTTCCTTTCAATATGAAAATGGTAACATTCTTCCTCCCTTCCTTCTCTATGGAAATACCTATTAATTCACTGAAGAACTTTTTTTCTTCATTTTGTCAAATCTGTACAAAGCTGTTAATCATCAGTTAACAAATTTGAGGATGAAAGAAGGAGTTACTGCTTGCGAAGAGAGTTATCACAGAACTTCTTACTTAATCTTAATTATTTATTCATTGTTTAAAAGGATACTGCCTTGCAAATCCTTTGGCTGCAAGCAATGATTACACTTCGTGCTTAAAGCAAAGAAACAGAATGTACTGACAGACTTAGAATCCCAATGTGTGCTTTAATATTTCAAAAGCAGAACATTATCATAAGCAGTCACTTACAGGAAAAATGAAGGAAGCCAATTTCATCAAAATTTTCTGCAGTTTAAATGAACTTGCTGTGTCTCACAGACTTGCTGTGAGAGATCTCTCCGTATCAGCATCCAGGTACACTATCTGTAAAACAATCATCCCACTTTTTTTTTTTTTTTTTTTCCTGAGCTCCTTGTATGATTATTATGGGAATGCCAAAAGGGTGTTTTCTGAGCCCATGCCTTTACAGGATTTATATTCCAAAGATCGTTAACTTTTCTATTTTTAACAAGAATTGATATGCACTGTAAGATATGGAGACACTGAGGCAGGAAGGGGAGAGGGCATAGGAGAGAGAAGCAAACAGACTACACAAGAGCATATCAATAAGTAGACCGGCTCTTCATAATTTAAAATGATGCCAGACTCAAAAAGTACGGTAAATGTAAAATTCACTGATTTACTTTTTCTTCTACATTTATAGTAGGTACATGCAACGTGTAGTCAAAGGTGGCACCAGAGTTACATGAGTTACATGTATGACTAAAAATCAGGTTGGCAGCTTGCTTTTTTTTTGTTGTTGTTTTGGCTTATTTTCCTCTTCAAAACATTCCACATTAAATTTTAATATCATGGCTATTATATTTATGGTATTTTAGCTTTCTTGATTTCATTAGCATGTCATGAAAATTGCTTTTTCTTTACGTTTTCAAATTTGAAACTTGATGGTTTCCTTAGAACTGGAATTAGCCTTGTTGTTGCTGTTCATATTTTTTATCTTTTCTATGCAGAGGCTGACAGAGCCAGAAGATATTTAAAGAAGAGAATTCATATTTATGTCCCTTGATTTTAAGCCAATCTCGTTTAGAGCCCAGTTAGGGACTGTGAATGTTCAGTTTAGTGATTTTACAGCAGGAATGGATCATTATGATCATGCGATCTGACCACACCAAAGTTTTTCCCTAAACTAATTCTAGACTATGTATTATTTAAATAACAAACAAAATAGAATTTCTGGTCTTGATTAAGGGCTTCTAGCCAGGAGGAAGAAAAACCTTTCTCATAGCCCACTGTAAATTCCTTCAATGATTAACTATATTCATTAACAACAACAGCAACACCCTATATTCACACCTTAACAGAGCCCAATTTCAATTTTAAAAACTTTGGCAAGCTGATTAACAATTAACTAGAGATAAACTAATTAATCCTCTAATCATATCTTGGCTAATCTAAATGGACTGAACTCCTTGGGTCTTTCTGTCTAAGGCACCTTCTTCAACCCTTTGCCAAGTCCTATGACTCTCCTCTGCAAATTGCCAATATCTCCAGAACTAAAAAAAAATAAATAAACATTTTAAAAATGAAGTAACAAAATTTAGACTTAGCTTACAAATTTTCCTAGGCTGACTTGAGAGTTCTCTGCTTAAATAATCAAGAATCATACTTTTAAACTACAGGTTTGAGCTGTGGTTTTACCTATTCAATAAAATAAAGCATATCTTGAAAACAACAGCCATTTTCTAGAGAAATGGTGTTATTCAGATACCTGGCTGTAAACCTATCGATATCTATGGCCTGTGCCCCCAGGTTAGGATTTAATTAAATTGTTATGATACCATTGCATGACAGAACTTGAGAAATGGGCAACAAAAAATGTAAGTATACTGACCTCTTCTTCTTGGTAAGAGTAACATTTCCAGACATTGTCAGTCTCCAAAACTGAGTATATCATGTCCATGTGTAAGGAAAATGTCAGCAAGAAACCAGATTTCAACAGTTGGAATACATTTAAATGATAAAAATAAAATTATGTGTTCCTGCAGCTGCTTAAAGTGATGATTTCGGCTGGTTTGAATTAGATGAAGTAGAAATAGGAATCATCACAGAGCTCTATCTCCCCCATCTCTGCAGGCAGTCCCTGCATTAAAGGCCAAACCAAGATGGAACAAGCCCTTTGCCTTTGGCCTTATCTGTAATTAATCAGCATATTAAACTGGATCCTATGCATAGCATAGAATCAGGTTAGTTTGCTTCTCCAAGAGAAGTAGGATTGCCTGATGTCTGCCTGATGCCCTTTACAACCATACCATACCTTTTTTTTTTCCCCATTTTTGATTTTATTATGAATGATAATACATATAAATAACAATTCTGGGCTGTATTAATATGTAGGCTCTCTCAAGTAAATATTATCACTTCACAACAACAACAAAAAAATGATTTGGTAGTTTTAGAAGATTTAAGCATTTTCCAAATCTTGTAGGAATATTCCATATTATTCATTTCACAGCCTTTTAAATGCTGTCTAGGAAGCTTTGCTTTTTTGTAATCCCTAATTTAAGACATTACTGTACAATTTCTGGCATCTCAAGATTCTCAAGCCTGAATCATAACTTAAAGACAATCTGTTACATAAATCACTTCTCCTACCAGCCAAACCTATCTGAACTACTACTCCTTCCATTTGTCATTACACAATATCCTTGCATGAATTACCACAACTGCTAGCCTGGAATGAATTACACAGAAAGCATTTAATGTATTTTTAGCTGTCTTTTAGTATTGTTAAAAGAAGGAAGAGGAACCAGATAATGAGATTAGGCAGCTTTCTACAGACCAAGAACAAATATTCTGCAGACATGGTTTGGAAACTTCTACACTTTCTGTTTTATTTTTTCTTTTATTACTGGCTTCATAAAAATAATTGGACAGGTGCTACATAAGCACCATAAAATTAGAAAATTCTGCTTCTTGATCAAAGGGAAGGTGGAAAAGGAAATTGAGCAAGTTCAGCTTCTTTTCCCAATTTTTAGGCCTAGGTCCATTATTCCTAAACATATCTCATGGAGCATTTTGCTAGCACTATGTGCTATACAGCACCTATGAAGAACATTCAAGGTAGTAGAAATTTTAGTATACTTTAATCCTCCTAAAAATTATCTGAAAACTCACAGCAGCTGTGTGTGCAATTGTATACAGATGGAATTATTCCCACCAGCTTGAGAGCATAACTCTAAAAAGATATTCCCCACGCACCTACCTTGTATCTTTCAAAGGTACCTCTTGCTCACAGCAAAGAGAATTCAAATCGTAAGCAATGATGTAAGACCTGTTCAACTGATTTAAAGAGGCTGGAAAGTGTTTCATAAGAATAAACTTATTCTGCCATATTATATGGGAATATTCATGCAGGTCTAATATACAAATTATTGACCATATTAAATTGCTAAGGACTCTGACAGTTTTGTAACTGATTTTATTCTGTGACATAGTTTTAGCATTCCTCTGCAGAGATTTCAATATAATTGCAACTGGAAAACACACAATACATAGTCAGCCGATGGTTTCATTTTATAAGGAAAAAAGTTCCTAATTCATGTTTGGCCAATGGAATAATGAAATAAAACAGTTCTTATCTTACCTTTATTGTACATATTTGTTGGTACTTGGACATCACTCAGACTGATATTCACAGGTAAGTTATTGAAGTGGTCGTTTGGCACCAAGATGAACTCCTTTCCCAGCTCCAGATAGTTTCCTTCTTCATCTCGTTCATTTATGAGCACAGCATTGAAGTATTCATACTGCAAAAGAGACACATATCCAGTATTTTGAATTCACATTCAGCATAAAAATGTAAGGAAGTTAATATAACATATCTCGATTCATTGATTAATGTTAATGCATCTCCTTCCAGAACAGAAAAGCAAGATACTTTTAGTATTTCTCAGAATGCCTCTATAATCCTCATACAGGTATATTTATGAAACCAGAGATTTATCAACACATCTCAGGGAAACCCCATATTACCTCAGATTACCCACTGCCTGTCCTGGAAATGTTATGGGTAGACCAATGAACACCTTGAACATAAAAAACATATGCACTATGGTAAACACAAAGTGCTCTAAATTTAAATAATTTGGTTAATAATTATTTAATGATGATCTCTCTGTTTACTCTCATCTGTTCAAGAACTGTTATCAGTGCTGAACCTAGGCCTTGATGGGCTAAAAGCAATTTTACTTCACAGGAACATTAACTAAACCAATGATAGCATGATTTCTTCGGCCTTTTTCTTCTGAAGATGTTGTTGCCTACTTCATCGTGTACTGACTGATGTTTCCTAATGAAAAACCTTCACTTTGTGCTGAGCTTTACACTGGCACATCATTGTAGATTTTGTAAAACCAAGCATACTTTAATGTGGGCACATAAACTTAGTGGTGACTTATTTTGGACAAGAAATTGTCTGCCTCTTTATAGATTCCTGAAGAGTATTTTGGCCTGTTTTTTTGACCAGATAAGCAAAAGCAATTTAGATAAAATTGAATTATTTTTTTTTTATGACCTAGTTTAACCAGAAATTCTATCCAGCTTTGAAGGCAGCAGTGAAGACTACTTTTTAACCTCTTAAATGTCTTTAACCTTTGGCAACAGTTTTCATAATATGATTCTTAATTGAAACATACCAAAGTACATCTTTGAAGAATTTCATTAATTTAAATCCTGATGTCTGCCCTAACTATCCATTTGTTTGTAAATCAATATAAATAACATGAATCTATGCAACCATAGATGGTATGTAATCCACACAACTTTTACAAGGATAAATATTGATACCATTTACACAGTAAAAACAGACTAACAAGTGTAAAAACTTCAATGTCACTTTGCAAGCACTGCTTCTCAGTGTGATAAGCAACTCATTCTAATAAACAATCAGGTAAAATTTTTACAAACAGTAGGCTTCCATTAAAAGAATAGATAATTGAACCAGTATCTTAAATGGAGGCTTACACATCAAGCTTTCAATATCCTGCTCTTTCAATTTTATTTTCAAAATGTCCACCCCATAAATTGGATTTTAGATTAAAATAGAATTCAGAATAAATCCTGTATGTTAGCTTGGTTTTGACCACCTACAGCATAAGAGAAATATATAAACTTGAAGTTCCACTTACTGTTACTCACATATAACAGTTCAAGACACATCAGCATTTGAAAATCAACCTAAATGAAATTAATCTGACATGACCAAACTTTTGACCTTAAAGATAATTTACTTTAATTGGGTTATACTGAGACAAACCAAATAATACAACTACATAAACCTAAATTTCTGGAGAAAAAAAAAAAAAAAGAAGAAGAAAAAAAATAGAAAGTGGTGGCTCTCCCATACACCCTCACAGCCCTCTCTTTCTGAAGCTATAGATAAAGAAAAGACTACAGATTCATTTCACTTAAAGTTGTAGTTTCACTAACTTTGAGAATTAATTCATTAATTATGAGAACTTTGCAAGACCCCCAAAGATGCTCCTCTTCTCAATACCACTGGAAAGATGTCACTGTTATACATTTAATTCTTCTCATAACAAAATCAAATGGATGAAGAAAGTGATCACTTCCAAGAAACAGCAGTTCTTATTCTATATGGGAGAAACCTTCTCCATTTGTTTGCTATACAGGTTTATGATAGACTACAGGATCATGAACTGCATTGTATGCCTGCTGCCCAAATGTGACAGCAGCCATGTCGATTCACCCTCTCTGCAAAAGCCAGAGACACTAAGCAGAAGACTTGAAAGTCTAATTTGAATTTCCAGTCTTAGTAAGAAATAGAATATTCCTTCCAACATTAAGCCATGCACTAATGACTGTTGTAAAACCAACCCTACTCCAGCTCCAAGCAAGGAAGTACAGTGCCGAACTTTTCTGTAATATAGTAGATAGTATCTAAACCTGGAAGGAAGGCTGACATTCCACCTCTGGGAATACAGTGATAAATAAAATTGTATTTCATGCTTCCTTCTTGCCAACCACCTCTACATCCCCTGGACTGTTAAATTCAATCAGGGTGAGGAGGATTGCACCATTTGTTTCCTTGTCTTTAATGACATAGCTTTGTTTTCCTTTTTGTTCTTCTGTTTTTGGAGCATGACAATACCTCTGCAACTGCTGGAGTTTCAGATAGGCCAGTGTTCCTTTCATGATGCTTCACGGCTTAGTAAGTCTTATTGGGATTGTCACAGAGCAATCAAAGCTTGTGTTGTTTTTTTTCCCCCATATTAAAGGCCACCGTTGGAAGCATTCACCAACACCCAAGCCAAAATTTAAACAAAAAAGTTTCATTTAAATATTACTCTAAAGAAACGATGAATACATTTGGAAATAAAAGATTCTGTACTAAATAAGGTAGCAATACCGTATTCCCCTTTAACTGAATTTATGTATCACAGAATAATTTATAGAGCAATTCACATGCAGACTTAGTGATTTTAAGTACATCAGGTTACCTTGCCTATAGGTTTTATAATACTAAGAAAATGTTAGGATAAAAAATGGTCAAATTTCCAATAAGAATATCAGAATATATTTTGCCATGCAAAGCATGTCAATAACCTCTAAAAGAACATTGCTTCCTTTCATTTGATGGGTTCTTCCTTTTCTAAAGGAATTAATTAGTGGACATTCTCCTTTGTCATGTTTTGTAAGTGGCAAGGCTAACCAAGTATTAAAAACGGTTATATTTTAAATAAATTAGAGCATTCATTTCACAATTAAGGGTATTTGGAATTGATCATTTCTTTGGTTGATTTAGTATTCACTGAATTATTGGTGTAAGTATTCTCTCTTTTCAATTCTATAAGTATATATTCAATTATGTTATTTGTGTGTTACTTTTAAAGTAAATTGTAGCACAGCATACTCCTTATTGTGTTACAGATAAAGGAAAAAAAAATAGAATATTATAATTCCCACCACCCTCCATGTTTCCAGCCCCCCCCCCAGCCTTTGGGGCAAATGAAAAGCCTGTTAAAAATAACAGATTTAAGACTGCCCTGCAATCTATGAAAAGGAAACATCAGGTAGCATGCACAGTTCAAAAATACTATTTCTAAAAAAAAGCAACAGCACTTAGGGAAAGCTGTTATACAGTGGCTTCTTTTGGACACTTTGCTTCCAAGGAAATTATTGAATGTGACAGCTGAAATGCAGTAGAAAGAAAATTAAAAAAAAATAAAAATTGGAGGAAAAAGTAATAAAGGAAATCCATCTGGCATTCTGACACTGCATTTGCGATAATGCCCAGGGGAAAGAGGATAAAGTTCTTCTTGCTGACAACACAAATACTCTACCTGCTAAGCTCTAAGAGAAAATGACTTCAATTTAATCCTGTCAATGGAGGTCAATCTTTGATGTAACCTTAACTTGGTGAGTTCTGAGTGTGCACAATATAACATGCCAAAAAGATATTAGTCTAATAAATAACAAAATAATTACCTAGGTTAGGAGCATAGCCAGTCTTTACTGTGACTTGGCCAGCAGATGAGTTCACACTAACCTTATGTACAGACTTGCACAGTGATCAATGAACCGAAGAAAAAGCATTCAGAAGAAATTTGTTTCATGTAATCTATTAGATGCATCTCAAGATCTGAATATGAACATTTATATTTTTGTGCATTTACACTGGCATTTAAACAAGCCCACTGGGTTCCATTGTTGCATTAGTTTTAAAAGCACATTCCTTGCTAGCATCTGCATCATTCTGAATGTTTTATCACCCACTTTGAATAGCCTCTCTATACCGTAATGAACAAATCTTACAGCAAGGCCATAAAGATCTGGGAAAAATAGGAATCTCGGCTTCCATGTGATTCATTTACTCTTATGCAGCACAAGCCAGTATAAACTGATCTGTAGTGCTCAACGGTGCTCAAAACAAGCATCTGGACCCTTCTTTCCTGGCAAATGAATGAATATATTTGAGACATCCCAAAGAATCGTATCACTAACACAGTCTGCAGAACCCTAGGATCCTCTAATAAAGTGCAATGATCACAGTAGGCAGACACTTGTGGGACTGTTAGATCATAAAATTGTTTTACAGATTCATTCAGGCTGAACAGAAAAGGCAAACTTTGTTTTAAAACTCCGTATGAGAGCTTCAGCCACAATACAGAAGCATGCAGCCTGACCTCTGAGGATGGCTGCCACAGACATATGTTAAGGATGAGAAAAACTAATTCATGCAAAAGGAATCAGAAAAGTTGTGAGAAAGGGCAAGGTTTGTGGTGTGCTAATAAAACCACAGGGTTAGGCTGCGTGGGAGAGCTATCTACCAGGTAACAAGCAAACTTGGCAGCTATATTTCACTTCAGTCCCTTACTTCAGCATAATGTCTCAACCAAACAAGCACCTTGATTACAATGGATATTTTGCTAAGACAAGATATCAGTAATATATACAAAATATTAAAAAATATTGTCATGCATAAATGCAGTGCTGTACAAACTTTTAGAAGTATGATATTCTCTATATCCAGTTATATTAATCCTATTGTAAGTCAATACCTTGTGATGCTTTATCAAATATTTGTTAACATTGCATAGAACATACATTGCTTTAAATGTAAAATTTTACTGCTTCATTTAAAAGAAAGAAACATTCTGATGCAAATTGCCTTTGTGACTCAGAGAATACCAGGCACATAACAACAAACACCGATCAGTTAGTTCTCATCTTATTTTAAAATGAAAAAGAATTTGCTTTTATTCTTACAAAACAATGCATTCTATGA